CACTTCGGGATCTCCCCTTCTCTATGGAGCCCCCCATCTCCCCCCACGGAGCTCTGAGCCCTGGGGGGCTCTGTCAGGGGCACCTGTGGCTCCATGCCCTCAACTACATCACCCCTGCGAGCTTACATGTCTCCTGCCCTCACCTCTCGGGTGGGGACACAGCATTCGCCTCTGCATGAGGAGCACGCAACACAGAAGAGGTTGGTAATTCATGAGTTCACACAACCAACCGAGAGAGCAAAGTCTGAATGTCCCCAAACATGGAAGGAGAGAACGCGGCAGGGAAGGGGTGACCCTTCCCTAGGTGCCTGGACATGGATTCCTCAGCAGCCAAGATGCACCTGCTCCCTCAGGGTGGGACCCTGGGCCTGGCCCTACCTCCCCACCAGGTGACAGACATAAACCCAGGGAGTCCCACTCCTCATGGATCCCCCCTCCTGACCTCCCAGTGATGTGCCATTAGCGCCCCAGGCCAGGCAGTGCCTGCTGTGCCGACCGTACCCCGTCCTGCCCCCACCCTGCTGGCTGGAGCTCCCCCCGCCCCGACTCCCTTTCTGGGTCAGGACAGGCACTGAGTTCTCACAGAGGAAACCAGGTCCCTGCTCCTCTGGGGAAGCCAAGCTTTGGTCCCCATGGCCCCAGGAAGCAGGGAGAGGGCTCACAGAGGTGGACAGAGACTGGAGCCAGAGGGGCACCACTGCACCCCTTCACACCCACAAGGCTGACAATATGGGAGCCTCATCCCCTGGAAGGGGTGTACATGGCTAGATGGATTCCCACCACCCCAGAACCTTCCAGGACCCCGTGGAAGGGGGTGTGGTCTCTGACTTCTGGCCTGTGGCTCCACTCAAAAGGTTCTATTCTGTGAGCAAACCTGCTCTGGGATCTGAGGCCCCTGTCTCGGGCTGGCCTTCCTTCCTGGGTGCTCACAGAGGGGCAGGCGCTACTCAGGGGGGCACAAACTGGCAATATTGATGTCACCTTCTACCAGAGGGGCCATAGGCACAGGCTCGAAGCTGGCCCGGCGGCCCCACACCCGGGCCTTCCTCGGATGGACAAGCCCCCACCCTGCGGGCTGCTGGCCCATGTGCTGTCTTATCCACCCGAAAACCCAAACACCTGCATGGCCTCAGCTTCCCGTGGCCGGGTTCAGGGAAATGAAGGTGACTTGCGTACCAGACTTTGCCGAGCCCCTGCCAGGTTCTGCCAAAAGGCTCAGGCTCAGAGGGAGGCCACCAGCCAACCACGGGCTGTATGAATCTCTCCTACACTCAAAAGCACGAGCCCTCCCCACTATGCTGAGCTAAACCCACCCAAGTGGTGAGCCCTTGATAAGAGGGTGACCAGAATGTTTCCTCGTGCCGATGAGGCCAGGGCAGCCGGCTGGGTCACGGGAGGGGTCCTGGGCAAGGGGGCCGCGGTTCTTAGGGACCTGGACAAGCCACGCCAGTGGGCCACTAGAGGGCGCCACCGTGGGCACCTGAAGCTGGATTCATAGGTGCTGCAGGTACATGGGTTCTCATCTCTGTGGACCTTCTACCTCCCTGCCTGGCACTCAGGTCAGCTGGTTGTGGAAGGCCAGCTCCATGGAGGACGCCGACCCTGCCCACAGCACAGAGCCCAGCCAGGGAGGGAGCCAGGCAGGGACTGGGGCAGCTGGGGAGAAGTCGGTGCCCCACCGCAGTCTTCCAGTCTGCACCTGAGGGTTTGGCCACACTGATGTGCCCATCGTATTCCTGGCTGGGGTTTCTGGGGCCTCAGCTCGGTGTTCAGGCAAATGGGCTCTGCCTGACTCTGGTGCTAAGTGCCCAGCATTCCCCACCGGCAGAGAGGCAGAATGCGGGGGACAAGGTGGGGGTGCGGAGCCAGAGGACAAATCCTCCTCCCGTCAGGAGGCTGTCTCCCTCTACTGGGCCGATGTGATTTTCTTTGCCTGGACAGTGACACCTGACCCCCTCCAGTGCCTGCCCAACGGGCCAGAGGGTCTTTCTGACAACCCAGAGCAGCAAACGCTTCTGGGGAGCCCCTGTGAGCCAGACACAGCCTCAGAACGTGCAGTGGACGGTTATCAAATTCAACTTACTCCTCCGCCCAAACTACCAGCCCCACTCTTCATAGGAGGAAACCTGGCACAGAACGGTCAGGCGCGGTGCAGGTACACGGCGGGGACGAGCAGAGCTGGGGCAGCTACCCACAGAGACAGAATCCGTAGATGGAGGGGTGTGCAGGGGCAGGGCCTTTCCCTCCACTGCCTGGGGCCTCCTAACCCCACCCCAGGTTCTCCGAGAATCAGTAAGGGCTCTCAGGGCACCCTGGGGCACCCTGAGTGTGGCAGCCGGTTTCCTCCTTGCAAGGGCCCCATGCGTCGTGCCCAGCCAGGGTCCGCCTGCCCCAGGAAGGGGTTAAGCTCTGAGTTATGAAGACAAAGACTGAGTGGAGGGGTTCAGCCACCTCCTTGAGCCCCCACAAGGTCCAGGGGCGATGCTGTGGGGTCCTGTATCTGGCATCCCCCATTACCTAGGCTGTTTTGTATGGCCAGTTCTACGCCTAGGTGTTATTTGAAAGGCCAGACCGTGGTCTCCCAGCCAGGAAGCAGAGAGCCTGCCGTGCGGTTCAAATGTCCACCATTCCCTCACTTCCCAGGGGGAAGCAGGTGCACCCGGCACCTGCTTAGGTCCCTGTTAGGTCCCTGTTAGGACAGAGGAGTGTTGGGGGAAGGATCCCAGCAGCCCACCGCTTCTGTCACAGAGTGGCTCCCACCTCCAGCAAGGGAGCTGGATCCTGAAGAGATAGACACGGGACAGGCAGGCTTGTCGGGGTTGGGGGGGCGGGGGAGGAAGTCTGGACAAGGCACAGAAGGCAGGGCTCTTATCAGCGGCACCGCTCAGCAAGGCAGGGTGCCGGCTGGGCCAGGACAGATAACAGCCCCGCAGTTGGGGGCAATCCTGGGGTCCCGGGCAAGCCTGGATGGTCAGTCCCCCTGCCCACAGCTCTGGGTGACAAAGGCAACAGAACCAGCCAAGTGCCTTTTTTGGTTTCGATGTGGACCTGCGATCCATCTAAGAGCCAGCCTGGATCGAGCACGTACTGTGTGCAAGCCATGGGCACAAACTCACTCACTGAGTCTTAAAAACAAACCCAAGGGGCCGGTCTTTTCACAATCCGCACTGTGCAGATGAGGCTCGAAGTGTGAAGTGGCCCAGAACACGTGCCTGGAGGTCCCGGTAGCAAGCGCTCAGGACAGCCGCTGCGGTGGCCTCCCATGCACCCACACAGGACACGGGGGACAGCCAGGCGGGGCCCCAGCAAGGCACCCCGGGGGCTTTCCTCCCTTCACAAGCACTGTTTTGTTTGCTGTGTTGCGGTCCCTGGCCACCCCGCCTTCAGTTTCTTCTTAGATTTCGTGCTGGAGGAAGGAGACACGCTCTTCTCAAGATTATAGTCGTAATTCCAGTGAATGGTGCAAAGTGGAATTTGCCGCCTCAGGGGAAGACTTTAATTTAGTTTTAAACTGTTCTTAGCACCTGGGACTTCTCCCTTGGGGTGACTCAGAGGGAGAATCTAGACCAGAGCCAGAAGGTGGATCTCACTGTTTGGAGGACGAGGCGGGTGGGCAGTGGCTGGGGCTGAGGTGCAGATGTGGGCTTGGGGCAGGCCGGCATCCAGAGCCTCAGGCCTGAGACCCCTACCCAGGGCCCGGGAGACGTGCTTCCCCTGGGCACGTTCTCCCGATCCGGAGACCTGCCCAGCCTCCTGCTGGGACCATGTGAAGCACCAACGCCCCCTCCCATCCAGACTCCCTGCCTGCACCCCATTCTGAAGACGGGGAATCTGCAGGACAGAGCCCCCAAATAGCATCGCAGATGTTATTAATGCCGGGGCATCAGCAAGCCTCACTCAGCAGGCCTGGTGCACCCAGCTACCTTCAGAGGCCTGGGAGGGAACGGGAATGAACGGGGTGGAACGGTGACATGCTGGACCTAAGGGGCACTGATATCGCACCAGAGCCCTGTGCAGCCAGGGAAACACCGGTGAGCGGGCCCTCCCAGGCCACCGTGGCTGAGGACAGAGCTCAAGGGGACAAATGCTTGAGAACCCCATGGCGCAGGCGCAGGACCAAGGAACCAGGAGGGAAGGGGCCTCCTCCTTGCAAGGGCCCCATGCGTCGTGCCCAGCCAGGGTCCGCCTGCTCCAGGAAGGGGTTAAGCTCTGAGTTATGAAGACAAAGACTGAGTGGAGGGGTTCAGCCACCTCCTTGAGCCCCCACACTCAGGGTGCCCCAGGGTGCCCCGAGAGCCCTTACTGATTCTCGGAGAACCCGGGGTGGGGTTAGGAGGCCCCAGGCAGTTGCACGAGGACCAGGGCCCGGGCCCAAGACGGAGCACAGTGGGCCTGGCAGGGCTGAGGGCCGGGGCTGCTTTCATGGCTGCAGCCAGCCCCAAGCCCCACACCCTGGGGCCCAGCTGTGAGCCTACCCCCGAGAAGTCCCATCCTCATGTGAACAATTCTGAAGGGGGCATGGCTGCGTGGAGAGCGTGCCGGGGAGACAGCAAGGCGGGGAGGGCCCAGAGCCTGAGCGTGAGCACCAATTTTGGATCAGGTGCGTTTGCAGTAAATGCGGCACTTGGAAAAACTCTTGGCAACAGGCAGGCTGGTGGCCTTGGCTCCCTCTCTGCTCATATTTCACTTTTAGAACCCAGAATCCAATGTACATGGAAGGAAAATGAGGCCCCGATGCCAGCCCCAGCCCCAAGGGTCCCCCCCGACCCCCGGAAGCTCAGCCCTGCCCCCTACACCTGCCCTGGGCGGTCATCACGGGCACGTGCTCGTGCACATGACCCAATATCCAAGCTGGAGTAAAACAGGCATTCTGGCCAACCTCTGGGTGTGCCCCGAACCCTAGACAGCAGGAGCCATGGTGCAGGGAGGGCTTCCTCACCCGGTTCCCTCAGGAGCCCCCCAGCTCCTCGCCAGCACCCCCAAGCCCAGCCACTCCTTACCCGACGTGCCAGGACTGCTGGGGCCTCTTGCCATCCTCACTGGCACCGCCCAGCCTGTTGAGCGACGGTGACCGGCTGCGGGGCCCGGGGGCGTAGCTCCCAAGGGTCCTGGCGGCCCCGTCGGGCTTGCCGGGCATCTGCTGCAGCAGCTGGGGTGAGAGACTGCGGTGGGAGGTGGCAGAGCCGACGGCCCAGTCGGGGGTGCTGGTGTTCAGGTTGTTGTCACTGTTGGAGCGCAGCAGGATCCGGGGGGCGGCCAGCGTGTTGGGTGGCCGCCGCCGGCGGTTGGAGTACGCCGGGGCCTCTCGGAAGGGCACTGGGTCAGAGAGAACAAGGAGAGGCGGGTGAGTACATGCATGGCATGGTGGGTGCGCACGGAGCCCCTGAGTGTGCAGGGCCCCCTGCGAGTGCAGGGCCCGCCGCGTGTGCAGAGCCCCTGAGTGTGCAGAGCCCCCTGCGTGTGCAGAGCCCCTGCGTGTGCAGAGCCCCCTGCGTGTGCAGAGCCCCTGCGTGTGCAGAGCCCCCTGCGAGGGCAGGGCCTGCTGCGTGTGCAGAGCCCCTGAGCGTGCAGAGCCCCTGAGCGTGTAGGGCCCCCTGCGAGTGCAGGGCCTGCCGCGTGTGCAGAGCCCGAGTGTGCAGAGCCCCCGCCAAGTGCAGGGCCCACTGCGTGTGCACAGCCTGCCGTGTGTGCAGAGCCCACCCCGACACAGAAGCAGAGACGAGGTGGACACTGAGAATGTCTCCATTTCATGGAGGCTCAAGCGAACATGAGATGGAGGGGGCTTGGGGTCCGCCTTCCATCTGGACCAGCACCTGATCCTTCAGCAGCCGAGACACGTGTGAGGGCCTCACGATGTGGTCGGGACACAGAGTTCCCCCTCGCCACCACCTGAACTTGGCCCCTGGTAGGGGCTGGACCAGGTCCCCCTGAAATTCATGTGTTGGAGCCCTAACCCTTGGTGTCTGAGACCATATCTGGAGCTGGGGCCTTTACAGAGGTGATCAAGGTAACACAGGGTCACCGGGCTCTGATCCAGTGTGACCAGGGTCCTTACAGGAAGAGGGGATCAGGACACAGACCGCCACGGAGGGATGACCCCATGAGGACCCAGGGAGAGCACAGCCGTCCACACACGAGAGAGGCCTCAGGGGACCCCGCCCTGCCCGCGCCTGCATCTCAGGTGTCGGCCTCCGGGACCAGGGGACAGTGCGTCCTGCTGTGTGAGCCACCCCATCTCTGGGGCTTTGTCACTGCTGCCCCAGGACACGCACACGGCCCTCTGGGTACCCTTCACCGGTGGTCTGCTTCAGGACCAAGCATGCTGTTTTCCCCACCCATCAAACCGGGGCCCAACAGCGTGCAACAGGAAGGCATGAGCACACCCCATCTGTCTTCTACTAAGTTCTAGACCACAGGCGAGGCCCTCACTCTGCCGAGTTCAGCGAGCCCAGGGACTCAGAATGAGGACACTGCCCGCAGGGACCGTGAGGACAGGTATCCACACTGCATCCACTCTGGGCTGCTCTGAGGGCTGGAGCCAGAAATAGAAAGTGTCCTTTCTCAGAAGACGCATGTCAAGAACAGTAGCCTTCCAGGCTGCCGGAGAAGGTGCCGATGCCCCTGGAAGCAAGGGACGCGGGCTTCCTTCCAGCGCCTGACCCCCGGGCAGCTTCCCGCTCACTATGGGATCTGCATGCTCCGGAATGAGGCCGAGCGAGCGAGCTCTCGCGTCCGTGCTGCCTGGGGCCAGACCAGCGCTACAGGGCAGCAGAAAGCACGCACCCTCCTGGGTGAGCTGGGCTGGAGTGGGAGTCCTAGTGTCTCGGAGAAGAACATCACGGGTAGTCCAGGACAGAGCCCTGGACAGTCCACCCTCCCCGTGCCCAAAGTCAGAGGCTGCAGTGAAGCAAAAGGACAGGTGCACCCTTCCCAGAGCCTGGGCCCCCCATCAACCCCTGGCACTGGCCCGTGACCACGCTGGGCAGCAGAGCGCACCAGGGACAGAGGAGTGCGGGCAGAGATCCTGGGGGCACAGGCGGGCCAACGGGGAGGCAGCACTGGCAAAGAGAGTGCTGGGGGAGCTCCACTGAGGCAGCTGTGACCCAGCGCACCCCCTCACTGCCTCGCCAGGATGCAGGGCAGTCCCAGGAAGGCAGAGATGGAGCCAACCCGGAGAAGCCATGCAGAAATGGCATGGGGCTCAGGACACGCGCTGGGAATCCACGTTCCGAGCCATTGGTGAGATTCTGTAATGGACATGTGGGAGGTCCTATTTTTTGACCCAAGGCAGCCCGGGCCCATCCTGACCTGCTCCCTCTGGGAAGGCTCCCTGGATGCAGCCAGGGCTCTTCAGCTGCGGCTGGCATCCTGCTCTGAATTCCTCAAAGGACACGAACTCACCAGGGCCAGCCCGGCTGGGAGAGAGGCGGGCGACAGGAAAGGCCGGCGGTGTCCTCCGTGGAGCCCTGGCAAGAGGCTGCCCTCTCAAGGGGCTCAGCCCACCGGGGAATCAGCAAGGCCTAGCCACACCTGCTAGAAAAACCTCACTTTGGGGAACATCCCTGAGTTTGCATGTTGCTGGTGGTGAGGGAGAACCGCATCAGTCACTCCCTCTGGGCAGATGGAGGCCAGAATGACCCCTGCAAGGACTAAGCACTAAATCCTTTACGGTTTGAAAAATGCACCTGTGGGTGGGTGCTTTGGGGTGACCTGACACCTGCCTGATGATGGGGGTGGGGGTAATGAGAGACCTCACAGAGGGCGAATGGCCGCACAGTCCTAGAGGGTGGAAACCTTTCGTGCACAGAGACAGTCGGCTGGAGGACCGAATCACAGCGAGAAAGCCAACCCCTCCAGCAGACACATTAAGCAGGAAGGGTGATGGGGCCCTGGGCCTCCTGGACCATCCTCCCCGCCCCCACCCCCCGCATCTGAGGAGAGGCCAGGGCTCACGCTACCCGTGGGGAGGGGAGACCCCAGCTCCACAGGGACGCTCCCAGACAAGGACACGCGTGCATTTAGTGACATGAACTCCTGACGAGGCAGCTGGGTCTCTTTTTCTGACCGAGAGAACCGTAAAGGACTAATGCCCTTAACAGAAATTGGGGGTGGGGAGTCCTGCCGATGCCTAAGACAGACTCATGAGGGGAGAAAGGTCTATGAGAGAACAGAACGGACACCGAATGTTCCCTGCTGTGCACGGGTTCCAAAAAGTGAAGTACCAGAAGATGAATCTGGGTTAATAACGCAGGAAAATGAGCGTGGACAAAGGCTGTTCTTTATATAAATTCCCAAGACACGGGCTGGAGCCAGCTTTCTGAGCAGGGGGCTTGGGCACTGGTGGGAATTCAGGACTGCTACCCTGGGAAGATCGAGGGATGGGGGAGCCCTGCCCCTGCCCTGAGGATCAGGTGGGGTACCGAACCGGGATCGCAGAGGTAACGTTAGGGCGAGCATTCAAATGACAATTAGCTCGCTTAATTACCAGGACTCGCATTAAATTAATTCCCCGTGTAAGGTAATTGGAAATTTTCTTCGTGTTTATTTTATGGCTTGGGCTGGCAAGCACCTTCCTAATTCCTCCAAAGTCACGTCTCCACAAACCCGATTTCATAAAGCGAGAGTTCTCTATATGACAAAGTAACTAGAGCCATCCATGGAAATGTTGATTTTTTTTTTTTTTTTTTTGGTGAAAAGGGTAAAAATAACTCTTTTCCTGTCTGAAAATGATTAATATTCCACCCAACTGTTTCCTTCTTTCAGGCAATCTGCAAACTCTAAGTGGGTGGATATTTTCTTAGCTGTCTTCCATGTATTTATTTATACATATTTTTTTTCCACAATAGAAATCACACAAGGTATGACAAAAACCCTATGCACTCTCAGAGTCTGCCACGCCGCATCTGCATCCACTCCAGGAAAATGCCACCAGGGGACGGCCAACGAGAGCCAAGGAGTGGCTCGCAGAGCGTCCACCCTGAGCCGGCACGGCCAGCAACGTGTCCCGACCTTCCTCGCTCCCGAGCAGGTGCTCCGCAGCCTCCGGGAAGCAGGCAGACTGAGGCAAAACTTCCTTTATTCTCCCTAGGACTTAGTTCCCAACGTGCCCTCCGGCACGGTCACCATGGAGGCGCATTCCGGAATGCAATGTGCAAGGGGCTGGGGACTTGAGAGGACCGTGAAATAAAACCGCACCTTCGAGTGGGTTAGAATCCCAGACCAACTACAACAAAGCCCGAGGGCGCACCCGAAGTCATTATTCCCTTCCATGATGAGAAGGGACAACCAGCAATTTTGGGAGGGACCAGAGTCCCCCGCTCCCCCAGAACATCAGTCAGAAACTGCTAATTCCCATGCACCACGCTCCCGACAGCTCTTCCTTACCTTCCTTCTTGGTGAAGGCATTTAACAAAGACTTCATTTTCCCTCCGACTTTGGCAGCAGTCCGCTCATTATATAACCTTCTCGGATGGGAGGAAGGAGAGGGGGGCTGCCCGGCCCCTCGGCGCTGGAGCGGCTCGGACCCGGGGAGCGGCGGTGGCGGCGGGCGTCTGGGCACTGCGTGCTTCCGAGCATGGCTGGGCATGCCAGACCCAGCGTGCTGGTGACAAAGCCCACCCCATGTTCTGTCTGTCAGCTGGGAACCAACCGTGCGTAGACTGGGGCTGATCTCAAGCCCTGCTGCTTCTGCCACCACCTGTCATGTGAGCAGTGCTACTCTGCTTTTGTGATCAGTGCATCCGGGAGGAGGGCGAGCACGAGTCAGGCGTCCTCGAGCCTGCGGCCGGGGAACCCCGGAGGCATCCGCGAACCGGAGCCCCAGCCGTTCGAGCCAACTCAGGCTCTGCTCCGGCCGCCTCTGCTCAGATGCGCCGGGCGCGAAATAGAACGCCCCGTGCTTTCCGAATGTTATTTTTAAAGAAAAAGCCAAGTTTTCTCTAGCGTCGTTTGTTTGTCCGCTAGCAGATGCGGTGAGCGAGTCAAGATGAAACCCCCAGTTCCAGATAAGCCTCACCAAACCAGACCCACATGAACTGGGCAGCCCTCGTCGGCATTCTGGAATTGCTGAGCGTGACCCAGATTTCCGCTGCAAGGAACCAGACACAAGTACCTATTCCTTCTCCGGCTCACCCCATCGTGGTAATTACCCTGGAGGAAACAGGATTTCCTCCCCCCCCTTCTCTTCCCTTTCTTTTTTTAAAGAGAGAGAGCACAAACTGCCCCCGAGCCCTGGTTCGCCCTGATTCCAGGCGGCGGATCAGAACGAGTGTCTTCAGAGCCCCTTTGCACGCGTCCTGAGCATTTCCACCCCGAGA